GACATCTGGTTGACCTACATTAACTCCATGACCTTTAAGAAAAATAAAAACTTTATCCCACTGGGCACTTCTATTTTCTTAAAGGAGAACAAGTCCCTGTTAGATGTTGGGTGTATTTGGCCCCAAATTGCAAGTATAGTTACCCGATTTCTTCAGGGGATCAATTTCCATCCTTTTCCTGGCTTCCCAGTGCTCAGTCTCTCCCACCTACTTTCCCTGCCTGCTCATCCTCCTCCCCAGGTCTGCTCACCACATTTTTCAGCATTACTGGTTTTAATTTCCTTTACCATCCCCTTTGCAAAAACTTCTTTCCTGATTTAATTACTATTTCTCTTAATTCAATTTTGTTCTCTTGATTGTCGTTAAACTCCTAAAGTTGTTTCACCGAAGAATTTAATGGCCAGGCCACTGCCCCCCTACTCCCCACACTGTGCTAGAGATTAATTGGTGTCATTTTGCCTCCAAACAGGTAGTTTCTTACTTCTCTTCAATTATCTCTGGGAGAGGGGAAGTGACCATCCTTCTTCTCAGCCTTTCTGAGAACAAACACTGCTGGGGGCTGCTTTTGAGAGAGGAAAACAGAGAAATAGCAGAGAGAGAAAGAGAAAGAGAGAGAGACAGACAGAGACAGAGAGACAAAGAGACCAGGGAAGGACAGGGAGGTGGGAGAGAAAGCCAAATATCTTAAATATTTCTCTACCTTCCTCTGATGATAGCGAGAGTATCCAGGATACTTTGTCAGCTTTGGCCCTGAGCAAACGGGGAGAGTTCTGGAACTGTGAATTGGGGGAATAGAAACAGAAAAGCTTTTGCATAGACTTCCTGTCCCCTGAACTGTCTTGTGAAAGGAAATCAAAACTGTGGAATTCCACCTTCTGGCCATCTTCCTTGATTCAGCAGCCTTTTGACTATTCCTTTAAGCTCCTGTTTTCCCCTGTTCACCCACCGCCTTCATCTCCTCTACTTTCCATAAAAACCATGAAAATTGTGGCTAGAGGAGGAAGCCTAATTTTGGGCAGGGGTCCAGTCCTCCAGTCAGCTTCATGCATAATCCAGGGACTGAATTCCCTTTCTTTGTGTGTGAGAAGCACCAAAGAGAACTACAAAATACAAATTCTGGGGGACTTTGAAACAGGGCCCAAACACCAGCCTGCTTGGCATCTAGGTGCTAAGGAGCTCTGTTCTCAGCTGTGCCTGAGCCTTGGTTCTCTGTGTATACTGAAGCATCGTGGGATATGTTAGGATATATGCCATGTGAAGGGAGTACAGAACTGTTAGGATTCATGTCTGTGGCATTGCTAGGCACACAAGGAACCATCAATAGCCAGTATTCATTACACAGACAAGCATTGGGTCTTTTATGTCATAGAATTGCAATTTTGGGGCTGAAGAAGAAATTGAAGTCCTTTAGGTCTTTGTCCTTCCCTTCCGGCTCCTACTGGAATGAACTAAGAAAGCCTCAGTTTAATCTGATGCTCCTGAATGCCACCTAGGACAGGACATTCACTGTTTCTCCTGCCTTCCTCACACCCCTGTGAGGATGGCTGGGGTGTCTCAGGCAGGAAAAGAACGCAGATTGTGGGGGAATTGGGGGATGAACCCTACAAAAGGGCCTTCATCCGGCAATTTCCTGGCCCCCATTCAAAACATAGCATACATTAGCTCACTAATTCTCTGGTCTTCAGGAACTATGTATTGCTGCAACAGAGGCTTATGAAATAGAGCCTCAAATAGCATTTTATTTTTTTCTAATGAAAAAGGAGTCACACAGTAGGCATTCTGGGGCTGGTATGGTAATATTCTCTATATAGAGTACTATATAAATAGTACCATACTCACTATATAAATATATATAAATATAATAAAAAACTATATTTTTATCAATGTCCTTCTCTCTTTTTTGTCTCTCTGTTTTGCACTGTTGAGCTCAAACTTAAGGTCCTCACTTACAGTCACCTCAGAAGAGCAAAAATGACTGCTACAGTACCAGCCATTGCATCCAAGTTCCAATCAAAGGAAGAGGGAAGGCCATTTAGGGCCCATTGATATATTGATTGACTGAGTTAACCCTCTTTTCAGGAAGCATGTCCAGAAGACTTTCACAATCCTTCATTCCTTCATTCAGTTTGTGAGAAGTTAGTTACAAGAGCACTCTGGCCTGGAAGGGAGGCCAGGAAATCGAATTCTTTTTAATGAGGTGCATTCTCATCTCTGACAGAAAGAGGGCTGTGTGTATGTTAGAAGGGGGTATAAAATTTGGGGTAGGCAACGGCAATGTCAGCTCAGCTTTAGATCTCGCTTTGCATGGTCTATGGACCAATATTCTACTTCCTCAAGGTCATGACCCTGCTGAATGGTGGGCACAGGAGCCAAAGAAATGGCTGAATCTCTCATCCACTGTCTTCACTAAACAGACTGTGAAAGTGGAAGGGGCAGCACAGAAATTTATTTTCTCTTGGATATGAAATTTACTGTCCTCCCTAGCAGGCAGAAATGATGACCACAGCTGCCTTTTATTTTCCTGTTACTATACCCAAGAAGTGTGGTGAGAATCAAAAGACAGATATGGGGAGGTGCGCGATAAACTACAAGAGACAATTCAATGACAGAAGTAATCGTTTGTCATTATTATGAGTGTGCTCATATCCCCCTCACACTGCCAGCTCAGTGGAAGAGAAGGGATTTCTAAGAACCAGAACTAGAGGCCAAGAGAAAAGAGAAGCGATGGGGAAGGAGAGGAAGAGAAAGAGGAGGCAAGAGGGAAGGAGTGGGAAGGTGTACAGACAGGAGAGAAGACTAAGGAAATGGAGGGTAGAGTGAAAGAGAAAAGGGGGATGAGCAGGGAAGGAGGAAAAAGGAGGGAAGAAGTTAGAGACTCTTTTATCTCTGTGGTAGAACAAGAATGGGCAGAATTGATGGGCTGAAGAAATAGTACAGAGTGTAGGGCACTTGCCTTGCATATGGCTGGCCTGGGTTCTATCCCCAGCACCCGATAGCATCCCCAGAGCCAGGAGTGCTCCCTGAGCATCACACTGCTGGGTGTGTAGTGTGTAGCACTGCCTGTGTCCCCCACAGAAACAAAAAGTGAATGTGGAGAATTGAATCTCATGACAAATCCCCCCATCCCTCACTCCCAACTTTCTGGAAGATTATGTTCAAGTGATTTTCTCAGGGGCCCAGAAGATGACTTTGCAAACAGGAACCCTGGTTTGATCCCAGTGTAATACAATCCCTGAACATCTTGTCAGGAGTAGCTCTTGAACACCACCAGTTTTGACAAAAAAAATAAATAAATAAAACACAAAGAAAAAAAAAACGCCAAGTTTTTCCACTCAGGTTTCTCTGACAATCTAAACAGATCTCTTGTCATTTTCAAAGCAATATCACAAGGCTGTAATATGAAAAAATCAAAAAGTTTTTTTTTTCAGAAAAACCTGTTTAATTTTTTAATTTAATTAATTAATTTTGGGGGCTTCCGAAGTGATATTCAGTGGGACCAGGCCAGCAGCTCAATGCAAGAACTTGAGGGGCTGGAGTGATAGTACAGCGGGTAGGGCATTTGTCTTGCATGTGGCCAACCTGGGTTTGATTCCCAGCATCCCATAGTTTCCCAACATGCAGGAGTAATTCCTGAGTGCAGACCCAGGAGTAACCCCTGTGCATCGCTGTGTGTGATCCAAAAAGCAAAAAGCAAACAAACAAGCCAAAAACAAAAACAAAAAACCAAAAAACCAACCAAACCAAAAAACAATGCAAGAGCTTGAGAACGCTATGCTGCTTGCACCCTGCTCAGCCACAGAGGGCGCTCAGGGGCCTCCAGAGCCACACAGGGTGGTGCTTGGCCCAGAAACCTGATGATGCTGGGAAAGAACCAGGGTTGGCCTGTACAAGGCAAGCACCGTACCTGCTTTTCTAACTCTCTAACCCCACCGGTGGTGAATTTTATATGACTGAATTATTACGCATCCTCATTTGTAGCTCACCCTCACTGTTCTTCAGTCCATCAAGGGCTGAAATCCATCTGCAGTCATGGCCTCCTGGAAAGAGAAACCATTGAGAGAGGCCCAGTCTAGTTTGACCTTGTGTTTGCGTTCAAGCTTGGAGTCCTGGGACAGCGGGACATTTGCACAGGATAGAAATAGGTAAAACACCTTTCAATCTGCCAGGCCATGGGCTCCAATCTGGATCTGTAGGAAATTAACCTCAGATATTCATATGTGTAAATCATAAACATTTACAACAATACTGTAAACCTGACATAAGTTTTTTTTTTTTTGTGGATTTTTTTTTTTTTTTTTGCATTTTGGGTCATACCCAGCGATGCACAGGGGTTACTCCTGGCTTTGCACTCAGGAATTACTCCTGGCAGTGTTCGGGGGACCATATGGGATGCTGGGAATCGAACCCAGGTTGGCCGTATGCAAGGCAAATGCCCTACCCGCTGTACTATCGCTCCAGCCCTTGTGGTTTTTTTTTTTCTTGCAAAGATTTAAAAAGCCTTGTTTAATTTTAACTAATTTGTGGGGGGGGGGCACGAGTTTTAGAAAAATGAGGAGTTTTATATATTTATATATTATTATCTTGGGCAACCACAATCAAGTCCTCCCGGCAGTGGGTGTAGGCAGCAGAAACGGTTTTCTCCCAGATCCTGAGCTGTAGGCGGGACACGGAGGCCACACACAGGACCCTCTGGTTCTGTGTTCTCATCTATTCTCTTCACGGCTGAGGGAATCAGATCAGGTACTGAATGTAAATTCCTTCCCTCTCTAAAGCTATTTCCCAATATGATTGCATTTCCCAGTACATCAATTTTGGCAAGACACGACAGAGCCTGGGCAGTCCTTTTGGTCTCAATATAGTGGCCTCAGTGCAAAGAGGAAAGAGGGTTAGGTTAGACCCTCTTCCCCACAAAATTCTCTTCTTCCTCTTCCACTCTCCCTAGCACCTTCCAACAGAATATCCCCAAACGCCATTTCTCAAGATCTTCTCTTTCTTTTCCCAGTTGTCTAAAGTTTCTGTAACCTTGCACTGGATTGGGTAGCGTATGGCCTCAAACTATTTCATAATGTTCTCTTAAGCACTATAGAAATGCACAGGGTCCCTCCAGACCCAAGCATGCTGGAGGCTTGCAGTCCTATGGTATTCTTTAAAAAGATGTTCTGTAGGCAGAGAGATGTACTGGAGTGAAGGTGCTGTAGCTGACCTTGGTTGGATCCTTAGTACCACGTATGGCCCTGAGCACTGCCAGGAGGGATCCCTGAGCTTTCCTGGGTGTGACTGAACACCCTGCCTTCCCAATAAACAAACAAATAAAATCTAGCTTTTTGAGGTGTATTCACATGTAATAAACATTGACATAAGCGTTCTTAAAATCAGTGATTGCTGTTTGAAGCGTTTTTTAAAAAAAGCTACATTCATTATGCAAGTTTGTAAAATGATGCCTGCGGTCCTTAGTCTGTCTATAGCAGAGGGACCCCCTCACCTCTTCCCAGTTCTTTGTAAAGGAGTTCATTAATTCCATAATACCCGTGTCCGCTAGCATTGCAGTTGACAAGCACATTCTCAAGTGGTGAATAATTAGATCCTAATCACCACCCAGTGAAGTTGGGAAATCATTTTAATCCTTGTACACATGAGATAATAGGAACCTAAAGAATGGGGGCTTTTCAAGGTCAGGCCACAGGAAAGTCATGGATTCCATATCTCAGCATATATATATATATATATATATATAATATATATATATTAACCCCACACTTCCATGCTTCCTTCTCCCCCAAAAATGGAGGTCCACCCATCTATTTTTTGGTTTCAATTGGGATTGGTGGCAGCTAGTCATTGGAAGGTAGAAGAAGCAAGAGTAGTTGGTACTCAGTGGTCAGTAAGGAAATGGGCTTTTCAGGTGGTGGAAGATGGGCAGCTTGGGGAAGCGCATACTTCCCCTGAGAGCAGAGTTTAGGTTCAGTTGAGTTCATTGTGCCCGCTGAGTCTTACTCTCCCCTTCGTGTGCTGGCAGGCCTTCCTCCTTCATTTTCCAGGCTCATGGCATCGATTTCCTCATTCTCTCTCTGTAATTTCAGTCTCTGTAGTTTTTATTTTGCCACAAAGAAGGATTTTTCTCTCTCCTGCAGTTTTGTCTGTATTCACCCATTAATTTACATCACTGTAGTCCTGTGAGTTCTTGTTTTATTCTAAGAGTTTTGTTGATCAAACAGTGATGGATTTGGTCCATAGGAGTCCCTTTATTCTGGCTCAGTATTCTTTTGGCAGGCTCCCATAATTATTATTTTGGCGGGTGTGTGTGTTTGGGCCACACCCAGTGGTGCTCAGGCGATACTCTTGGCTCTGTCCTCTTGACAGGGCTCAGGGGACCTTATATGGTGTTGGGTATCAAATCCAGATCAGATGCATGCAGGGCAAGTGCTTTAGTCTCTGCATTATCTCTCTGACCCTTTTAATTATGTTTGATGGGCCTCCCAGCAATGCTCAGGGGATCCACGGACTATTTCATGCCATACGGAACCAACCAGGCTGGGTGGTTCAATGCTTGGGCATACATGGTGTTGGGGACAGCCAGGGCCACAGCAGCTGTGCTGCTATGCAGTGCTTGTACTCAAACTCAAGGCCTCAGCGCATGCATCGAGCCCTTTGAACTGTCTCCCCAATTGCTTTTTTTTTTTTTTAGCATATCCTCAATTTTGTTCTTAAAACTATTATTTTGGTTTTGGGGCTATACCCTCTGTGGTCAAGGGCCACTCCTGGCTCTATACTCAGGGTCACACCTCATAGTGCTTGAGCTGTGGTGCCAGGAATCACACCAGGGTCAGCTGCACGCTAGTTCCTTACTCTATCTCTCCAACCCTCCTCCACATTTTTGGGTGTGTGGGGACTTGGGGTCACATCAGATGTGCTCAGGGCTTATTCCTGGCTCTGAGCTCAGGGCTCACTCCTGGAGGGACTCTGGGGTTCATGTACAGTGCTGCAGATTGAACCCTGGAACAATCATGTGCAAAGCAGGCCCCCTAACCACTATACTATCTCTCCAGCCTCCTCATCCACATTTTTTTAAAATACAAAATGATGGCTTCTGCTCATCTTATACTTTCACTGCTCTTGCTTTAAACTCATCACATTCTACAAATTAGTGGTTACCACACAATGTTACATACAAGTTTGACAATGTGAGCCAGAGAAGAACACTTTTTTTTTAAGAACTAGTTTCTTGACCTTTGAGAGAAGAGAAATATGACAACTTCCCTGAGGTAGTCTGTGCTGATTATTCATCCCAAGGGCAAACAAACCTGTTACAGTCTTATGAAATAAGTTTCATGGAAGAAAGCATCTTTTCCTGAGTTTCAGACAATGCTAGATGGGAAGTGGGTGGTCACATTTATGTCTCATTTCCAATCAACCTGGAATAGATTGCTTCAGTTTCTCGCAAGACAAGACAGTTTTGATCATGGTTCCTTATCTATGGAAATAATTTTATCTGATTATTTTTGTTTGTTTTGGGACCACTCTCAGTGATGCTCAGGTATCTTGCAATAGTAGTATAGTACTTACCTGCTGTATTCTATCCCACTATTGAAATCATTTTAATAAAAAAAGATTCTGAGATTATAGAGAATAATGTCATGAATACAAATGTGTTAACCTCTGGATGGAAGAATGCCTCAGCTCCTTTTGGCAAGAAAGTAAAACTACTACAAATTTGGAAGCCAATTTCCCTCCCCTCCTATATCTCTCTCCCTATCATAACTTTCAAGTTAGCGGGCACCTTCTTGACCTTCAATATTACTTTGATCTCACATAAGTAAACATCAATATAGAGTACTGCCTTGCTTAATTCAGTCTTTTTTTGTTTTGTTTTTATTTTTGTGTCAGGGCTTAGTCCCAGCTCTGCACTCAGGAATTACTCCTTGTGGTGCTTGGGGGACCATATGGAATGCTGTGGATAGAACCTGGGTAGGCTGTGTGCAAGACAAATGCCCTCCCCCCTGTACTATTATAGGCCCTCCCGTTGATCGTCGATTTGCTCGAGCGGGCCCAGTAACGTCTCCATTGGAGATTTTGTTGTTACTGTGTCTGGCATATCGAATACTCTCGGTAGCTTGCCGGGCTCTCCGAGAGGGGCGGAGGAATCGAACTCGGGTCGGCCATGTTGGCCGCTTGTAAGGCGAACGCCCTACCGCTGTGCTATCGCTCTAGCCCTGTACTATTATACCAGCCCAAATTTATGTGCTTTTAACAACTTTGGAGCTACATCTGAGGGCTTACTCTGGTGATACTCAGAGGAGCCCATGTGGTGCGAGGGATTTAAATCTATCTCTTAGCCCCTTCACTATTTTTTTTTTTTAATGAAGGGGCTTGGCGATGCTCAAGGCTTGCTCCTGACTCTGTCAGGGATCATTCCTTGTGGACAAGGGAGCACCTCTGGGGTTCTGGGGATAGAACCCTTGTCAGTCATATGCAAAGCAAGTGCCCTCCCCGCTGTGCTATTGCTCAGGTCCTAGTTTTTTTGAGGAGGGGAGGGGGACACACCTAACAGTGTTTAGGGCTTACTCCTGGTTCTGTGCTCTAGGATCATACCTGGCAGTGCTTGGGGGACCATATGGGGTACTGGTGATTGAATGCTGGTTGGCTACATGCAAGGTAAAAGCATTGTCTGATGTACTATCTTTCTGACTTCCGTCTTGCTTATTTTAAACATTTTAAAAGCAGCAGTATATATCTATATCCTTGCTTGATTTGCTATTGTTGTTTTAACTAACATTGAACTATATTCATATTTGTCATGTAGGCTTAGTTCATTAATTTTATTGACTAGATCATATTTTGTTATAAGATCTAATAGTGATAGGATAGGATAGTGCTGATACTCTGTATAGTCTTTTGGGTTTTTCCTGGAATGGTGTCACTTTGCTTGACATCATTGAAAGTCAATTACTTTTTTTCTCTTCTTAAAAAAAGAATTTTTTATGATAAATATTTTTTAATTCTTAAATGACATCATTGAATGACATTTACATTAACTTTTTTTTTAATCATTTACTTCTTAATCTCTTATTTACCTCTTCCATCTGTTTCCAGAATTACTGATATTCTCAGGTTTGTAGTATGAAGTTGGATGGGAGTAAAATGAAAATCATTTTCCTGCTCTTTTTATGATTTTAGGTATTATAATATTTAACTATTAGATACATTTATGATAAGTTAGCTTTTTATCAACTTAAGGGACTTCCCTCTTATAACATACCACTTTGCTAAAATTTGTTTTTCCCAATACCCACAATGATCATAACTAAAATTATTTTTGATATGATTGTGCGATTTTCTTCAAGTCCTTTAGCTACATCAATGTATTTCTTCATAGTCTAATATTCTATCTTTTTATGAAAAGATGATATAGGAGACCACTGGACTGTAGCTCATTGGTAAAGCTCTTGCCTTATATGTGTGAGGACTTGGGTTTGATCTCCCACACTGTAAGAAAAATAAAAAAACAAAGGGGGCCACCCTCTATTAAGGTCTCATTTGTTTTTATCTATTACTCAACTGAGTTTGCTAAATGCCTGCCTACTTTCTGTTAATTTTTCTATTTTGGAAAGTCTTTTCATGTGGATCTTTGAAGTGGGGGTTCTGTACAGCTTTGCTTAATATTATACTTGTCTGGTTTTCTTCTAGAGACTATATTAGCTTCACAAAACAAGTTGAAAGTCTTTATTCACTATCTGGAAGAATTTATATATAATTAGAATTATCTGTTCCATGAAAATTTAGAGGATCCACCTGGAAAACCATCTGGAGCCTCTAATTTCTTTGTGGGAAATGAAAAAAATACTATTATTTCAAGTTTTAATTTTGTTTGTTGGGTTTTCCATTTCTTCTTGAGTTAATAATGGAAAGCATGGTCTTAAGCATATTCTACTGTGACCCCTTTATTTTTTAAACTAAGACTGGCAACTGGCAACTAGGAGACCAATGCCAGAAATATCTTGAACTCATAGTGTGATTGATTTTGGATTATATTTTAGTCATTGTGTGTTCAGAAACCTTTTACCAATTTTTTTTGCAACCTCCATATTCTGTTACATGATCATGTTACATGACCACCCTTACTTTAATTAGATCA